CAGGGGTAATTTTTCCATGAGTAGTTGTAAATTGGCTGTGTCCACGGGAGGAGGTGAGTTCAGAGTCTGCCTACGCCGCCATCTTGACTCCCTTTCCTTATTAAGTCAAGAACTTTCACCTTTTTGCTGAAAGGAAGCACTTTACAGCTTCTCTTTGGCATATGTGAATTGCCAGCATCACTACTCTTGCTCTTCTGGTCAATGTTAAGTAAAATAAGGGTTACTTGAACACAAGCACTGTGATACCACCATAGGCGTCTGACAAATGAGACGGCTACTAAGTGACTAACAGGTGGGTGGTGTACACAGCGTGGATGTGCTGGACAAAGGGATGGTTCACGTCCTGGCGGGATGGAGTGAGATTTCAACATGCTACTCAGAATAGCTTGCAATTTAGATCAGGAACTGTTTATTTCTAGAGTTTTACCTTTAATATTTTTGGTCTGTGGTTGACAATGGGTAACTTAAACTGCAGAAAGCAAAACCACGGATAAGGGGGGACTGCTGTACTACAAACATAGTGGCTTAGCAACACAAAATTATTATCTCACTGTGCTGTATGTAAGTCAGAAGTCAGACACGGCTCTCACTGGGCTAAAATCAAGGTATTGGCAGGGCAGTGTTCCTTTCTGGAGGATCCAGGGGAGAAAACATTTTCTTGCCTTTTCCACCTCCTGGTCGCTGCCTGTATTCCTAGCTCTCACCCACCGTCCCCAATCTTCAAAGCCAGAAATGGTGGGATGAGTCCTCCTCACAGTGCTTGCCTCTGAACTCCTTTCCTTCCTTCTTCCACTTATAAGGACCCTTGTGATTACGTTGCTCCCATCCAGATAATTCAGAATATTCTCACTATTTTAACGTCAGATGATTAGCAACCTTAATTCTATCTATTACCTTAATTCCCCTTTGCCATTAATTTAACATATTCACAGGTTCTGAGGATCAGGACGTGGACATCTTTGGAGGGGGAGCACTATTCTGCCTACCATAATTCAGAAATCCTTGTGTAATTCACCCTCCCTATCTCCCCTGCTCTTACTCAGCCCCAGCCCAAGGCCAGCCTCACTCACAAAATCCAGCTCTAACTGCCTCCATAGATGTAGGAGAAAATTTACCCTGCAATACTTCTTAAGAACCTCATTCAGCAACTCTTTCTTTCCCCAGAGTTAGTCTGCATAGAGAAATACCTTGCTATGGAGAGAGTGCCTTTGACAGTTTTAGGTTCCCGTGGGATTTCTATGACTGGCTTGTAAATCTGTGACTTCTCTTCCTCTATGTACCACAAGTCCAGTGGCATGTTCTAACCTCACTGGGGGTTGTAACTCCAAGTCACTACCACTACATCTCCCACAAACGTCTCTACTTTTGGGCACATGGGTCCTTTCTCTGGACTCCCAGGGCTGGCCGGATGTTTTTCTTCACCATGGCCTGTGTAGTCCCAGGCATCTTCTCAGCAGGAGAAACAGGGGGATGGCCCTGGACCACGACAAGTCCTTCATTTCCGACTTCTTGTCCATCAAGGAAAGACCGAATTCTAAAAATAATGGGCCTTGAGCAGGTGGAGTGCAGGTTTTATTTTCTTGTGGGATATTTTTAAGACTTGCTCAGTCTAGTGCAATCACATGAGGCTTAAATCAGTGGCTCCCTTCCTTCTTGTCTCTTGCTATATATTTAGCTTTGGGGAAATACTATTTCATCTATAAAATGTCTCACCTTCCGTAGAGTGAGGAAGCCAGAGCTTCAGTGAGATAATGGATGACAACGTGCAAACTGTAATGTTCTCCACTCATGTGAGGCTCCGTTCTCTTGTCCCTCCCACCCCAGAGCCAGTGCCCCATCCCCAGATCTTGGTCCAGACACAGTCCATCACAGCAGGCTGGTGCAACATCACCCTGGAGTGCAGAGCTGGGGAGGTCACAGAGGAGCTGAATGTGACCTGGGAGAGCAAGGGCCTCCCCAGGGAGCTGGAGCAGAGGGGGACACTGGGACCAGCCCCCAACTTCTGGACCCTGAATGTGAGCCTGCCTCTGAGCCAGCCCAATGCCAGCCTCACCTGTGTGGTCAGCAACACTGAGGACCAGAAAACTGTCACCTCAGCCCTTGGAGAGATCTGTGCCCATGGTGAGTGCAACCTGCCTGAGGGGAGGGGTGCTCTGGGAGCTCAGGGAGCACTGGGGTCTGAGGACTCTGGGCTTTTCTCCCCACCGTGTTCATCAGCACCACCTCCAACTGCTCACCCCATACAGAAGTCTGGGAGGCACATCCAACTTGTTTCTGCTTTCAAATGTCTCTCACGTCTATGCCTCTGCTCTTGTGCCCCTGCTGGTAGGCAGCAGCTGTCCAGTCCCTCTCCCCACCCCACTCATCATCCACAGTGAGTCCAGAATCGTCTTTTGGAAAAGCAACTGTATTGTGTCATTTGTCTGTGTCACCTGTAGGATCTGATCTCCAGTGACTCCCAGTAGGATTCAGGGCTCAGACGCTCCTCTACCCATGGTTTTGGCCTCAGTGTCACACTTCACACCACACTGCTTGCTTGGAGTTCCCGAATATGTTCTTTTTTTTTTTTTTTAATTTTTTGTTTATTGCAGTAACATTGGTTTATAACATTGTAAAAATTTCAGGTGTACATCATTGTACATCTATTTCTGCATAGATTACATCATGTTCACCACCAAAATACTAATTACAACCCATCACCACACACATGTACCGAATTATCCCTTCCACCCTCCTCCCTCCCCCCTTCCCCTCTGGTAACCACCAATCCAATCTCTATCCCTATGTGTTTGTTTATTGTTGTTAATATGTTCTGCTATTGCCAGATTTGAGCCTCTGCATATGCTGTTTCATCTACCATCATTCCTCTCATGTTTTCCCTTAATTTCTTGCCTTATTCCTACTGAAGCATTTCCCTCAGGCACGGCTGACTTCAGTAACATGTGGCCCATGTTGTCACACAGGCCCCGTGCTGGGTTTAAAGCTCTGCAGTGTCCATCTTGACGTTTCTAACAGTTTTTGAACAAAGGGGTCCTTGTGCTCATTTTGCACAGGGCCCTGCATGGGCTGTGGTCATCCTGCCCTCAGGCATCACTTTTAAGGAGGGTCCCTGGTGCCCCACTGAGTGGTAATGCTCTGTTTCTGTACTTGTCTCCATAGCCTGAAACACCTTGAGGGCAGGGGCCATGTCTTGTTCTCCTTTGAATCCCTGCGCTAAGCACAGCTTATGGCACAGTTTGTTCAGTGTTTTGATGAATGAATGAATGACCTGGTACCCTCGTGAGCAGCCTTGCCCCTCTAACCTGTCCTCCATGAGCTGCTTGAGGGATCTGATGTGTCAGCATCACATAAAACCCCCTGTTACCCTCCCCTCAGCCCCTGTACTGGAGCCTCAGATAGAGTTCCACACTCAGCATGACCCACAAGACCCTCTGAAGACAGACTCCTGCCTCCCTCTGATCTTTGCCTGGCTCCTGCCTGCTCTGTTCCCCTCTTGCCTACTGCACTGGGGTGCTGGCAACTCCGAGGGGCTGGCTTCTGACACAGCCCTTTCCTGAGCGTGATGCTCATCCCTCCTGGAATGCGCTGCCCACCCTGAATATCTGGTAAACTCCTATTCCTCCCTCAAGACTCAGGCTACCCATCACATCCTCTGGGAGGCCCTCCCTGAAGACCTGTGTACAAGGTGTAACCTCTATTGCACTGCAATCCTTCTGGCTGGCAGACTTTGTTGTTTTCTCAGTCTTTCCTGCTGGGTGATGAACCCCAAGAGTATGGACCAAGTCTTGTTCACCTCAATATCCCTGGCACCAAGCAGGAGCTTGGGAACTGGTTAAAAGAATGAACCTCCGTGCTCCTGCTCTTCAGCTTCTGAACCAGGACCCTTCAGATTTCTCCCCCTGATCTCTCTATCTCTCCTGGCAATGGGTATGTCAGGTTCTCTCTTGACTTAACCTTCTTCCCTTTCTCTCTGTGAGGGAAACAGATTCACATGGACAGGCAATTGCTGGCCCCCTGCGAGCCATCCTAGGGACCATCGTGGCCGTGCTGTTGATCCTCGGGGCTGGACTATGCCTATTGAAGGCCATTGGAAAGAAGACGATGGAAACTGGAAGAGGCAGGTTGCATTTCTCCTTCCGGGCCCAGATACCCTCCCTCCTCCACTGGGCCCTTGGCTCCCTTTCTCCTGCATTTTGCTGCTCAGGAAATGTACCTGCAGAAGGCACAGTGTGTAGACATAGCCTTGGGGTTCATAGCAGTGGGGGAGGGAACAGGTTTCCAAGGCCCACATTCAAGCTCCACTCTATGTAATCCTCAGGTGCAGAATTGCAGGAGGAACACAGGAACCAGGATGGTGACATCCACTATTTAGAGCTGAGCCAGCAGGAGTCTTGAGAGGGCAGGAACATAATGAGAGCTGGGAGCAGTGCCCAACCTGGGCTCACCCAGCTCCCTCTGCACCTGGGTTTGGACATTTCCGGCCCCACTGTCTCTTTAACTCTTTCCAGTTATTCACCAGTATTTACCAGGAAAATTGACAATTGGGGCCAGTGTAGTGCTAACACTTTGGGGGAATTCACATGCAGTTCATGTCAGCAGCATTGGTTCCACTTGGGTCCCTCAGGGGCCTCTCTATCCCTCAGCTCTTCTAGGAACCCTCTGTCTTGCATTCCTAGGGTATGGGTGAACGACATCTAGAAGAAAAGGAGCCTCTCACTACTGTCTACAGTGAGGTCCAGAACCAGGCCAGGCCATGAAGATGATTTAATTGGAGAAAACAGGGGAATCGGCATTCCTAGGACACATCCTCCCAGAGCTTGATCCCTGAAGACACCCCCCTCTTCCAGCTCTGGTCCAGCTCCAGCTGCCCCTGGTCTGCGTTACTCTGACCCTCATGTGCTCAACTCCCTGGGCACCTGTGGCCCTGTCACTTCCTCTGACACCTCCCCAAGCTGCCCTCCCACTCATAACCCTCACTTCTGCAAGATGAGTGCTCTTCCTCTCTCATTGACTTAGCTCCTGACCCCTCTCCTTCTGAAGCTTCCCAAAGGGGACCCTACTGACTGTTCATGTGTTAATCCCCACAACCTCTGCTGTGTTGCTGGTGTGTTTCTTTCTGAGAACATGAGCTGAGGCGTGGGGGCTGTGTAGAGGTATTGACCATGCCACAAAGGAGAGAGTGAGGCCCTTGGTGTTGGATGCTGAGAAGGGGGTCAATAGAGGCAGTACGGGTGGGTGGGAACCCACAAATGACTGGCCTGAGACTTCCTAGTACTGTGCATAGGGCTTCCTTGTGGGTGTCGGACAGTGTGTGTGTGTGTGTGTGTGTGTGTGTGTGTGCACATATTTGTTGGGGGGGTGTCTAGTGTACATTATATATTGGCCAGAGCCCTTGCTCTTGGTCACCTGTGCTAACCTGGACCTCAGCCTTAGCGTCAGCCCATGGGTCCCAAACCCACATTCCTGGGGAGTGGAAAGAAGAATCGGTACTATTTCAGGCCCTTTCAAGTCTTCTGTTTCTCAGAGAATGACCCCAGAGGTCCAAAGATGGGAGTTGCATTCTTAGGAAAACAGCTTCAGCTGTTCCTCTGTCCTGATTAGTGGCACTTTGTGGTTAGAATGGATGAGGCCACACGCGTTGGTGGGGCTGATGTGGGGTGTGAACGGTGAAGCTTGTGGGAAGGTCTGAATTGCCGTCTCCAGACTCCTATGCTGACCCTCATCCTCCTACAACCATGCTGTCCTCACACTCTAGATCAGTTCCTCATTGCTCGTTTACATCTCTCTTTCTAGAGTGACAGTTCCCTCTCCCCATTCCTTGCTGCCATTCCTGCCTGTTGAAATACTACCATCCTGCCGAAACCTCCCTTCTAAATCACGTTACATGGATCCTGCCTGGTTCCCAAAGGTTTGGAAATGGTCGTTCCTACATTTAACTTTTTCGAATACCTTGGACATAACTAAGGCCACTGCCACAGTCTGCTCTGGATTAGTAATGAATCTTCTCTACTGGACTAACCTGGGGCTCCCTCAGGAGGGTGTTGAGGTTGTAGGAGGCCAGGATCAACAAGACAAGCACCTCTCTCTGTGAAGGGTCTTGGCCACCTTTCCTCCCACAACGGCTCAGCAGACTGAGGCCATGAGCACAGAGGCACTGAAGGTCTTTCTGGTGGTGGGTCAACATGGAAGCAAGGATGGACATGATGACCTCCTGTGACCCTGCCAATGACCTCTCCTGACTCTCCCTGGACCAGAGATCTGAAGTGGGGACTTCCTCACCCCACCTCCAGCCTCACATGGCTTGAGGACCACATGAAGCCTGCACTGAGGTATGCGAGAGCTTCTCCCTCCATGGGGGTCCTCACCTCCTCAAAGCCTCAGCCTCCTGCCTTGGATCCCAGCTCTTGGGTCATGATGGTCTCACTGATACTTTGAACTGTGGTATCTGATATGCTGGTCTAGATTTCTGGTCTCTTCGTTCCCTTCCCAGCTCGGCTCAGCTCAGCTGCTTCATCCCTGACCTCAGAAAGCAAAGTTCTGAGCTATAGGCTTGAGCATTATGAAGCAATGCTAGGAGCCTGCTGAATGGTGCATGGATAAGGGAAGAGTAGGTGGATTCATAATAAGGCTGTTTCTGACATCTTTTCCCTTAGGCTGAGCAGAAAGCTGAGAGAGAAAAAGATGACATCTCCTCACTGGCATCCCAGGTGACTGGTTATGGTTGGGTGTCAATGTCCATCAATCTAGGAGCAGTGACCACCCATTAACCCTTCCCATCCCATCTAAAGCAGGGAATGAAAAAAAGGAAGGGAACTGGGATTTCCAAGCCTACAGCGAACAAGGTTTTGTCCTTTGTTATTAGTGTCACTGAGCTGATTCCAACTCCTAGAGACCTTATGTACGGCAGAGCTGAACTCTGCCTGGTCTTCTTGCACCATCCTCTCATCTTCTGGCACTGTATCAGGCAATGCTCCACTGCTATTCATGTTGTTTTTGTGGCCATTTTTTGGGTGTAGGTGGCCTGGTCCTTCTTCCTAGTCTGTCTTAGTCTGGAAGACCTGCTGAAACTTGCCCACCATGGGTGACCATGCTGGTATTTGATATGCTGGTGACATAGCTCTCACCATCACAGCAACACATAGCCACCGCAGTATGACAACCGACAGACAGCTGGTGTGGTTCTGTGACATGAAAACAAACTTGGGCCACAGTGGGTAGAGCGCTGAATCTTAAGCACTAGACCAACAGGACTGGCATCTTTTTCCTAGGAATTTTACTAATATTATTTCTTCTAATTCTTTCAAGAACTCTCTACAGTAGATATTATTATGCCCATTTTGCAGAATACGTAACCAATGTTCCAGACTAGCTGGTTGTAGAGCAAAGCTTTAAATCTAACTCTGGATGATTCCAGCATTCATATCTTACCCTTTACCACATGGTTGTTGAAGAACTTGGAATCTTGGAATATTCTGATGGCAATATCCTCCATTTGTTCCTCTCCCAAGGATCCTGGTCTCCTGAATCAGATGTCCCAACTTGGGATGAGGTAATCTTGATGATGGATGAAGCAGCTGATGGTTGAAAGAGAAATTGTTCCTTGAGTGGACAATGGGGCCTTGGTGGGTGGAAGACATGGAATGAGAGACCTTGAACTCTGGCGCAGATGAGATGAAGTGTTGCTTTTCCCTCTTCAGTCTTGTGGGAGATCTTTGCTCTCATATAAGATGTTTTGTGTATTTCAGTATCCCCATCCTCAAAGCAGCTCCCTTGGGCATTATTATTCCTAACTTCATTCAATAGGTTTTACATAAGTTTCTCATTTAGACCTTCAACAAATCTACAAGGCAGAAATCGCCATTGTACTGATGGAAAAATAAAATCCAGAGATGTTAACTACCTCACAAAAGTTCTCCCGAGTGTAAGTGATGTAGGAACGATTTGGTTCCACAGGAGATCATAATTTCACTCATTTTGCCTCTTCTCCCTGATCCAAGACGTACAACCAGTTACCATCTTCCATTGGGTTATCTTTCATAATGCATCTTGTATTCCATCCTCCTCTCATTTTCTTTTATTCCTACCTTCCACTTGCAGCTGCACCATTTTTACATTTCCGCCAGCAATGTATGAGGATTTCTCCACATCCTCTCCAACTCTTACTATTTTTTGATTACAGTCATCGCAGTTTAAGTGAAGTTGTATCTCATTGTGGTTATGAATTGTATTTCTTTAATGATTAATGATGTTAAACATCTTTTCATGTGACTATTGACCATTTGTATACCTTATTTGAAGAAATTTCTTTCTCTCAAATTTTCTCTTGTGACGCATTGCCTCCACGCCTCCTTTGAATCTGCTCTTGTCCAGGTCATCGGGAAACTCCAAGTTGTCGAATCCAATGGTCAATTCTCAGTCCTCATTTCCGGTGAACTCTCAGCAACAATGGACCTTTACTTCCTTGAAACACTGTCTTCACCTTGCATTCCCCACTCACCATTCTTTTCCTCCTACTCAATAGTTGCACCTTAGTTTCCTTTATCAGTTTCTTTCCCATCTCTCCAAGCTCTAAGTTTTGGAATATCCCAGGGTTCATACCCAGACCACCCAGACCTCTCTTCACTATCTACACTCATTCCCTTTCTAATGTTATGGCCATGCACTAATCCCCGGAACCTGTGACCATACAACATTATGTGGCAAAAGGGACCTACAAGTGTGATCCCTCCCCTGGACTCCACATTATAAATTTCCAACTGTTTCCCTGACATCTCCACTTGCATATATAACAGGCATCTCCAGCTTGACATGTCTAAATTCAAACTCCCCAAACATGCTGCCCATACAGTTTCCCAGCCCAAAAAATGTCACCTCAATTTTTCCATTTGTTCTGGCCAAAAACCTGGGTGTCATCCTTGACTTCACTCTTTTTCTCATACCCCACACTCTATCAGCAAATATTTATATCACTTCATTCAGTAAACATATTCATAACAAAAATACCTGTCGCCACCCCCCTTGTCCAAGGACGATCATTTCTCACATGTATTATTGCAGTAGCCTCAGTCTCCCTACTTTTGTCTTCATCCCTTAATATCTGTTATCA